CTTGGTCTGGCATAAGGACAGCTGTCACATCTCCAACCTGTCACATGCGACACAGAGGAGATGCCAGAGGCCGGGGCATCAGGAGACACAAGGACGGACACAAGGAAAAGTGTCTGTGCATTTGTGTGTATGTCGGTGTTCATGTGTCTGAAAGAGTATAGAAAATGGAAGACGTGGGGTGGTGGCCACGTGAAAGCGTTTGACTCGGAGGCACCCTCTAACCTTGATGTCCACGCACACACACGCATGCACACTTTTCACTTGCTTTCTTAAATCTAGTCCTTGAGCGGTTGAGTCACATCCCTCAGGGTCATGTAGTAAATACTGTTTTAACGTCCAACCTCCAACCCTGCAGGACGCCCTCCTTGTCTTGCAGTTCTCTGACCCAGGCCATTTCAGTGCTCATTACTTACCAATGAAGAAGTCTCTTCATTAAGGCTCTGCCTGTGGCCTGTGGAGCTTTTTTTATGTTCCTTCTCTAACAACTCTTTACATAAGCAAGCAGCAGTTGCCCTCAAGTGTATTTGTTTAAAAGGGCTTAAACTGTGTGTATGTGTGCACAGAAACATTAATGGCCATTTGGGGTCTTTTGTTTCATTACAGATGGAAAAGCTCTTCCATTTCAATTTAAGTAAGGGTTTCAAGGCAGGCAGGTTAAAAGGTCAGCTTTTGTTTTCATTAAACTATCTTTTCACTTCCTGTTTAAATTTGAGTTTCTTTGATTTCCTCTAAATTATCACCACACTGGACACCCCCTCAACACATTGTTTATTCCATAACCAAAACTAGCTGTCAAGTAAATCATTTGTATTGCCCCTCTACACTAAATTACTTTAAACATCCTGCTAAAGAAGCATAAAAATGTTTTTCTCCAGAAAATGGCAGGATGAAATTTGAGCAGCGAGCTTCCCAGACAAACATCCTTGTTTTGCACTCAGTAGTCACGAAAAGCTACAATATTTAAAAACGTAAAACGCAAGTTATACTTTGTCTATTTCTCAGGGATCATTGATTTGACTTCTAAGCTACAGGTCATGGGGCTTTTGTGATCCTGATGATGAAGATTGTTAAACATGTTTGTTGATCTGATTTTTTTTTTCCCAGATCTGATTTTGTTGTTTTATTGTTGTTTAAATGTGGCCCATATCAGACTCTAGTGTGAACTGTCTGCGGCCTGGAAGTGTCCCGCATGCGCAGAAGAATAACACAACGTCACTCGCACCACGCTGTGGTACAGAGGTAAACAAGCCACAGAGGTTAGCTCATACTTTCTAACCCTGACAATGTTCACGGGAGACTTTTTCATTGTCCTCTTACGGGTCACATTTCTACTGAATTAAGTGTTCACAACTTTCTGCTCTTTTCATTATGGTTTCTGGCGATGGACAACACTTCTACCACTGTGTCCGCACAGACATGTAGCATGCACATAACTCAGAAGAGAGCTTGCGGTCCGGTGGATTTCAGGTGGAAGAAAGGGAATTTTTTCACTGTCCGTTCTCCGTCTACAGCAGAACTGTGACAACAGCTGCTCTAGAGGGACGTCAAAGTCACATCAGTTACGACCTGAGTGTCCAGACTCAGGTAGCATTTAAAAAGAACCGGATCTGGATCGGATTTGGACCACATATGGAAGTGGCCCAAATCCGAACTGGAAAAGATCAGATTGCATGTCACTTGGCCTGTTCACACTGTCATAAAAAGATCAGATCGGAGTCACATATGGGCAAAAAAATCGGATTTGGCTCACTTTGCCTTGCAGCCTGAACATAACCATAGTTATCCAAAGAAGTTTGTCTTCAACCAAGTCCAGCTGCCCTTGATTTAAACCTTCCTTGGACAGTATGCGTGTTATTTCTCAGTTTTACATTAAAGTGGGTTGTGAAATAATCATACATCATGATGTATAGCTAAACATTCTCTAAAACTATTTTTATCGACATAGTTTCAGCTCCCTTGCACAGCACATTAATTTAGACAATGGCAATAGCTAAAAGTTAGAGGGTCTGCCTTTAGATTTTGTTTGTTTGTTTCACTGATGCAGTATGACTTGTGACAGCTCTTCGCTGTCTGCTAGGACGAGACGAGTCTGAATCATTCCACAAAAAGGCTCTCCCTTCAACAGCGCCTGTGGTCTGACCAAATCGACAGATAGTCCCATACAGAGCCGCCCCATGTTCTTCTTCTGGCCCTCTCACCTTCCTGTTGGTTCTCATCTGTCTGTTTACTCTGTCTCAGTCCAAAGGAAGCATCCATTAAATCACCTTTAAAGATGGGAACGGGACTTGACAGCTACAAACTGGAGCAAAACAATCTTTTCCCAAACCCCACGCCCACCCCAGCCCCACATCTCCATGCCTGTTTCTATCTGTCCCATATCGTCAGCGGCAGAAGCCGCGAGCGCTGCTGTGAGACAGAGAGCAGTTCTTGTTTACTGATGCACACTATATTGATGTGAGCTGATTCCATCAGGCAACACTTTGGGATGCCACACACCCCGCTTTCTTTCATTGCCTCCCTTCTACTCTTTATGTCTTAACTCCCTAATGTATCTGCCACGACAAGGCAGACTGCATGATAATCAGCGGAGCTGCAGTTATTGTAATGACTGTTGATATCTGCGTGCGCTACAATATGAATGTACTGTAGATTCAAGAACTACTCATTAAGGACCCGTATATTTGCATTTCATGTAGCATATTTAAGACCAAACCATTAAGAGGCGTTTCCTGAGCCCCTGACATTTGTCGCATCCCTGGGGCTGCAACTATCTCATTTTCAAAATAATTTTATTGTTTTTGAATATTATTTATTCTTTAATTAAACACAATGGTCAAAATCATAGATTACATGTAGACAAATTAATTCCACTCCACTTGGAGAGAACATGTTCAGTGAAGGAGTTTCTTTTTCCACCCACTCAGCCATTTTTGTTTCTCAAACCAATGGTCAGTATGGTTTTGTGATCAGCAGACCAAAGTGTGTGTAATTAGGTAATAAGCCTGATCACGTTTGAGGCTGCTTTGCTGCAAACTGGTTGCACTGTGCCTCTGTCCATCATGTATGGTGGTTAGATTTCCTCTCACCACGGCGGGCAGCGATTATAACAAATGGATGAGTTCAAACCATCTGTAAGACATTTGATTAACACTGCGGAGCCTCTGTCGGGAGAGAGAGCACAGAATGGTACTTGATGTGGAATTGCACTAATGACAGTGCCTGAGAAGTCGCCATGCTCTAGGAAAAACATCACAGAATGAGAAATTAGAACCTTGGAGAGACAGATGAGGTTTGTAGCGAGCAGCTCCGGGTGGCCTCTGCATCCATCTCACACATGATTTGATTGGTGCTCCTAGTCATCAGCTCAGCCTCATAGTGCTGCTGTTGAAGCTAATGTGGCATGAAACAAAACAGATGTTTCTTCTGGTGTCTTTCCTCTTCTCCTCTCCATCTCCTTCAGTGTTTTGGAACTTGCAGACTTGTCGTGTACACATAGAAGTGGATGACCCAAGAACTCAGACTGACTCTCTAACAAACAAAAAAAGTTCTGCAACATAGATGGAGCTTACTTTATTGATAAGTTACTACACGTCAAATTGGAACTAAATTCAGAATCTAAAGGCTAAATGCTTAAAACAAAGTGGTGATTGAAAGGGGTCCTGTATCCAAAAAAAGTTGACTATTCAACGAGCCTACCCACTTCACACAGTCAAACAAGTGTCAACACTATCAAAGCCTGTACGGAGATGCTGTCCGGAACACCATTAAACCCCAATTTGGACAATTATCCCGCCTCACCCTTTTCTGTGATTGCACGCTTTGCCCCGCCTTTGTCGTGCAAGGTTTCGGGAACAGGTACACTTTTACCTTTCATGTGAGCGACGCTGAAGCGTTCTTTCCATTCAGTCTGCATCGACTCCCACCCAGCTGTCTGTCAGCTGCAGGTCCAGAGGGGACAGCGGCTGCTAAACTGTCTTTGCCAGGCTGACTGGCTTACAAAAACCCACTGAACAAAAATAGTTTTCATGCAGGCTTCTCAGGAAGAAATCAGCATTGTTTAATTTATTGATTCATGGATTGATCCCCCCCCCCAACATAGAGGGCAGATGAAATCTGCCTATAATGAAGCCAGCAAGCTTATAGTGACACTGGGGACCATAATCAGTTATTACAGATATGGTTAATAAGTTGGCAACATGAACGGCAGGAGATTTGTGTGATTTAACCATCGGTCCGTTGAGATAATGCTTCTCTAAGTGCGCTAGAGGGAAAAAAGAAAGACTCGGAGCATAAAAAAACACAGGTGTCCTTATGGTCTCAGAGTCAGTGTTGATTGACTCATTTAAAGGAGACCTATTATGCTTTTCCATATTTTATGACTTATCTACAATGTTTATGTTACTTTGTTGGATGTTCATGTTAAACATGGCCAAAGCTTTAAATAAGGTCAAAGTATTTCAAAGAAATCCCTGTGAGCCAAAACCTCAGATTCCTCCTGTTCTGAACGCTCTGTTTTGAACTGCTTTTTCTACCAACGGCTCCGTTCTGCTTCATAAGGAGCTAGACGGAGACGGTATTCCATATATGGTCATTTGCTCCGCACAGCAACGGGACAGCAACGCTCAGTCGGGGGGGTCTTGCAGGAGCATCTACAGCTTGTTTCAGACTGAGGCTCAAATGAAGGCCTACATGAAGAGCCAGTATAAATTCTTTTTAAATCATGCAAAGCTGCCATACAGGAGTCACAGAACTACAATAAAGGACTGGAAAGCAGTATAATAGGTCTCCTTTAATAAAATAGAATTTGTCTGATCCACGAGACGGGCAAGTGACAGACATGAAAAATACAAACTAACAAATCCCCAGCCTTAACTCAAACAGTCTGAAGCTTTGGGATTTCAGTCTGCAGCTATTTAAATGAGTTTCAGCTTCATTTCAATGGCGTTTTGCCAATGAGGAGTGCTTGTACTGAATTACAGGCCTGACTTTGTCGTTCTCAGGACACAGCACTGGACCCTGGAGAGGACGTTGCCCTTCTCTCAGTGAGCTTCGAGGATGCTGAGGCTACCCAAGTCTTCCCAAAACTCTACCTTTCCCCCAGCATTGAACAGTAAGCCCATCGCGCCTATAAATAATTTTGTATTGTTGCTTTATCAGTTAATTCAGTTATATGTATGTTTTGATAGAGATCGTGATTTGTGTATGCAATCTGTGACACCACATGAAAAATGGCATGACAGTAAATTAGAAACAATTGGGGCTCAAAGGATCTGAAAGTTGGACAATGGAGACGATCAACCTTTTCTCTACATGTTGTGTGGTGCTAGAAGAAGTTGTATACTCTTATACTCTCTGTCTCTTTGTCCATGAAATTAGTTTATCATTAACATTTTCTTTCAAAATAAAGTAGTATTTTCATAAAGTACTACCAGAAAACATCACAGACTAGGGTCTTGCCGCTGCAAGTATTTAATATGAACATTGTATACCATCCAGGATTAATTATCCTTAAATCAGACACATTCCATCCGTATTAGGGGGAAACGAAAAGGTCTGAAGGTTTGTTGCAGTAACTCACTTATAAAGCTACGATACCTTTAGAATCACAGGGACGGTCAGCCAAAGGTGAAGTGGGCTCACTCGCTCCGCTTGCTGATTTTGAAGATGCAAGATGTAGTTGACGGATTAGTGTGAGTGTGCTGTGAATCTAGCGACATATTATGTCATTGTGAATAATCCCACATCCCAGTGTCTGGACTCATCAGTTGGTTCCTCAAAAACAACAAGGGAAGAACAAAAAATGAGATGGATGACACACAGCGTCTGAGCTAGGAATGACTGGATGTCTGCAGACATCTGGGGTGTTATAAATACAGAGACTCTGTGTGTGCGTGTGTGTGTGTGCGTGTGTGTGGAATGTTTTCTGTGAGTCTGTGGGCACTGTATGAGTGGGTACCTCAGCAGTGTGCGTCTTCTCTTTGTTCAAATCCATTTTTCGTCTTGCTAGATTTAGTGTGCATGTATGTCTTTGTGTGCATTTGTCAGTTTACATTTGGGCGTATGTCTGTGTGTGCAGACGGGTGTGTGTTTGAATGTATGCGTGCTTGTGGGTTTTTATATCCCAAATGTATGTCGTCTGTTTTCATGTGTTTGTGTGCACGCACCAGTATTTGAATAGGCTTTGCTCTCAACACTGAGTCTTTGTAGGTGTGGATGTAGATAAGTGTGCATGCGTGTGTGTGTGTGAGTGTGTGTGTGTGTGTGTGTGTGTGTGTGTGTGTGTGTGTGAGAGCCAGGTATGGGCCCACTCTGACCTCAGGGCCCCACAGTCTGGGCTTTCGTGCTCGGAATAATCTCAGGCTGATGTTTATTTACAAGCACACGCCCCGTCGCACCAGGTTAAGAGACCTCTAACCCCCACACACCCACAGCCCCCCCACCACTCTCTCTCTCTCTCTCTCTCTCTCTCTCTCTCTCTCTCTCTCTCTCTCTCTCTCTCTCTCTCTCTCTCTCTCTCTCTCTCTCATATCCTCCTGTCTCACCATGTTCCTGTTTCATCCTCGTCTTCCATGCTCCTCTGTGGCTCCTCGGTTTTTGTCCTTCTCTTCTGTTGTTTGTATTTTTACACTAATCAAATCCTTCCTCTCCCCTTTTTTGTCTGCTACCATTTTCATCCCATTTCTGCCCATTATCTCTCTCTCATTTACTGTGTATATCCACTTATCTTTCTCTCCAGTGCAATCGCTGAAGCAGATACATGCACACACACACAGATGCTCCTCCTCTTCAATATGTAAAAATGAACTGTGACAGGACCTTATCCCCATGCAGCAACTGCAACAAAATACCCTAATTACACCACACAAAACAAAGGTCACCTGCCTACTGCTTGTCCTACATAGTCCTAATTTTTTCCGTGCTGTCCATGTGTAAGAGCATATCTTAGCAACAGTATGAGAGAGACTGCTATATCTCCTTTACATCACACAATTCTGCAAACCTTGATGCAGAGGTTTTATTTTGTTTTTACTGTAGTATTAAGCACAGAATAAAAGATAAAAGCTTTGGGTTTTGATTTAATATTCATACTTTTGCTGCTGTGTTTTTGCAAGAAAGAAGCTATTTTGATGGACACCTTTCTGCATGGAAAATCCATGTGGTTGAAGAGGCTTACATCAAGAGCACTGTTATGGTGTTGAATACCTCAGGGTTTAGATATGTGCGTTCAATGCATATGTTTGCTTATTTTATGATGGAGTGTGTGTGCGCTTGTGAGAGAGACTGACCTTACCACGGTTCCAGACCAGACTGAAGCTGTTGCAGTGGTGTTACAGGCTCTCCTCCTCTGCCAGTTGCGTGAGGAGAACAGACAGAAGGAGGCTAAAGGCAGTAGAGTCGAGAGCAGAAAGTAGGGAAGCTACGGCGCAAGGGGATGGAGAGGGGTAGATTCTGGCGGTGCGGCAGCGGCGGCAGCTTAGATAGAGGAGGAGAGGCTATAAAACAAACCCTCTTCATCTAAACCCTCTAAGAAACACGTTGCCATGTTGTTGGAAATTGAAATTGAATAACCCCTTGAGATGTACCATCTTCTTCTCAAGGGAGTCCTTCATGGCAAGAGTACAATATAAGCGCAATTTAAAAAAAAACAAAAAAACATAACAAGATGATTAAATGATACCAAGTGTGACAAAAACAAATATCAAATAATAAGACAAAATAAGTGCATCATACTCCAAGCAGAGCATGAAAATGGCTCATTCATTCATCGATCATAGAAAAGCATTAACATCAGTGATGGCTTTAAATAATAAAGTTGTAAATTGTGTTATTATGGACATGTACAACTGATCACTTAGCCAAGCTCTCTCTTCTTCTTCTTAATGTTGCCTCTTTGTCTTGAGAGATTTGCACATATGCATATCAAGGCCATGTATGAATATGCTCTGCTACTTTGCTTTTGTGCACCTATTTGTCAGCTGTGTGGGAGTGTGTTAATTCATGACCCAGGGCGAAAATGTATGTCTTCTTCACCGCTGTTTGACAATTGCATGTGTGTGCGAGTTCATGCATGAGCGCGTTCGTATTGTATTCATTGTGGATTCTACTTAATTTAGCATGAGGACGTGTGCGAGCCAGCCTATTGCTGTACGTGTGTTCATGCAGAGCCTGTTACCCTGTTAGTTTTCCTCCATGTCCCTTACTGACCCTTGTTAGTCTTTGGTCTTGTGTAGCTGCCCATAGTCTCTGCATCCACTCAAGTGAAGAGGAAAACTCATTTGTTGCAGCGTTCCTGCACATTTCTCTGTTTTTCTAGCGAGTGTTTGATAGACAACGACATTCAGGAGCTTCTGCGTTAACCCGAATGACCACAAATGGTCACAGTATCATGCCAAAATAGAATTCACATCAAAACAGCTTTGGAAATTGTTTAAATCACTTTTGATTTTATGATTAGTGAGTGTAGCCACAGTGGACAGCTACAGAAATTGGCTCTGCTTTGGTTTTGGCACCACTGGATTTCAGTGTGCAGGTTGTCGTATAAAACACATCTATTCAGTGTCAAAATGTTTTGCAGTTCTTTATGTCTGCAGTCTTTCTGTCATTCCATCTTTCAAACAATCAACCTATATTTTTTCCAATGTTGGTGTTGTCTGTGTATTCATCCTCCATCTGTCCACACATCTGTTCTTCCTTCCCTCACTCCCTTATCCCCCGTCTTGTCTGTGTGCAGTTTGTTTTAATTCACCTTTCCCGGTTTTTAACTAACCCCTCTTCCTTTCCCTTTCTTAAAGTTGTAATCTTGAAGATTTCTGCAGATTTATACTACAGCAAGCACTTGTTAAGCGGCTTCAGAAAAACAACAGACGAGCAGCTGGTGTAGCTGTTTACAGTGCAGCCAAACAAGCGTTTTTATTTTAATCAGTACAGCCGTCTACACAGGCCAGGCAACGGCTTACGTTTCACATATTCTATATGTGTGTATAAGCAAATCATATTTTGAGACTTTTTTTGTTCACCTGTAAGTACAATGATGATGTAGTCTGAGCTACACTTAATACTTTGCGTGAACGCATCCTACGTAGACACTGAAGCCGCTGCTCTGCTAACGTGCTGTTTGCTATGCCTCCTGTGTACAGTAGACATTGTGTTCAAAATTATCTGCCGATAGCTCTGGCACAGTGTGAAGAGAGTGACTGTATGTAGTGAGGCTGTTAGCAGGGAGATACAATTACCCTGCATTACATGCTGCAACGTTTTCCTGTGAATCCCTCGTGTAGAGGTAGACAATGTGAATCCAGGGCTGGAATGTCATAATAATTATAATATGATAATATATCATATAATGGACACACTAAAATGCACACAAATCAAAAATCATTCCAATTTATTCAAAATAGTGAACAGAGCAGCTGTGGACAGCTACAGACATCACTTCAGCTTTGGTTCTGGCATCACTGGATTTCAGTGTTGGTACAGGCTTTTATAGCAACTACATCTGTTCAGTGTCAAAATTTCCCGTGTTCTGTCTGTCTGCAATTTCTGTATACCTGTCTTTCCGCCATTATATCATTTTATCAATTGTCTGATCATTTTGTCCATCATTCCGTTTGTCCATTCATCCTCCATCCGCTCCCTTATCCTTCACTGATATCCTGTTTATCTTACTTTTTTTAAATTCACTTATTTTTTCGTTTTTAACTTCTGTCCTCGGTCGTATCTCTCCACCCCCCCTCCCCTGTTTTTCACATGTCTGCCGCCTGTCTCTTTTCTCTCCGTCTTTCTCCATTTTTCTATCACTCTCTCTCCTCTGCTGATCCCTCTGGCTGATCCTCAAAGGGAACCGAGAGAGTGAGTGGGACTTAAAAGAGAGAGAAGAGCTGTGCTCTACCCAGCAAGGTCGTCCCTCGCTCGACTGAAACGCAGCGAGAGAAAAAAAACAACACACGGGAGAAGAGAGCTTTTCCCTCTCTATCCTTTTCTCTTTCCTCCACCTCTCTGCTCTTCTCTTTTATCACTCCTGAGTTGTTTGATATCTCACTTTTACTCTCCTTCAGCAGGGGCTCGGATCTAAGAGCTCTGAACGCAGACTCGTAAGCCCCCTGAGCTACA